CAATGCAACTAACCAACTATAGATTTAGATAGCACCCCCCAAGATGACCCCAAAAGCGATCAGGTGAGTCCCACTAGAGCGGGTTCAATGCACTTGACTCCGGCGGAGGCAAGATAGCCTGCCTATACATAACTAATTAACCTAGAAAAATGCAAATTTCTGCAACACACCCACTTCACATAGAGAAAGGGAGAGAGAGAGAGACGTGAGGAAACAGAACTGAGAACAATTTCTAAGCCAAACAATCAATCAACGTGGCTTGTTGCTGTTGTTGGCCACTTGAGCACGTTGAGACTGGAAACGAGGATACACGAAGGTATGCCACAGGTGCGGGGATGGGTGTACAGGATGGGTGTGCAAAAGTAATATTTATTATGTGTATACTTCTCTGACAAACAACACACACAAGAACTTGGCCCAGGCCCGGGCTGAGCTGCCACAAACTGGGAACTAGCCTCAAAGGGCCAAAAGGGGAACACGAGGGACCCCGAAGACCAATACCAAGACACCACGAGAATGAGGTCTATAGCGACTCCATTGGAGACGGAATGGTGTATATACCATGGTATGGGAATCCCAGACCATGCCTCGTCTCCACTCTCATGGCATGCTGCCAATAGCTCAATAACACCCCGGGGACCAATTGAGATCTTTTTGGTGGGATAGGCAGGCCAGCACCTAGGACACCGATGATGGCCAGCCGACTTAGACAAACAGTGTGGCATCAGCAGCGAGGTGGTAATACAGGAAAAAAAGGCAGAATCATAGACAAATACTCAACGGGGGCACATAGTTCACAAAATGACACCCGATGGCCAACAGTGAGTCCCGAACCTTTTCTTCATTTCTCTTTTTTTTTTTTTTTTTTGTCATAAAATATTTTAAACAAAAAGTTGTTATAGTTATATTTTGCAATGTTAGAATACAAACTTCCTTCAACTTTGTTTTTAGTTTTCCTAGTTCCTAAGCCCACGGTGTCCCATGCCAATTGTTTTGCCAGACAAATAGACGGCCGCCGAAAAACAGCAAAAAGTCCACAATTACTGGCTATAGGTTAGACCTCTTGGTGGTGCCCAGGTTTAGTTTTAGTCCAAGTCTACGTTGAAGTCTTGGTGGGGTGCCCAGTCACGCGCTGAAAGATGAGATTTTCTCGGGGCCTTTTTGCCTTTTTGAGGCATCAGAACCCGAAATGCTGCAAGCCTTTGACCTGACCTGTCAACATGGCACAGCCTCCTTACTCCCACCACCGCCAAAAAAAAACGAGCTTCATCTTCTCGAATATAATGGGTTTTGAAGTGGATAGGTTGCCTGTGATAACTGAAATGTTCCGCTCCATTGACTTGACAATGCATTCTGACATCCGTTTTGCACCTCGCCGCGTTTTCTTAGCCTTTGTTTTTTTCATGTTTTTTTGCGCATTTTCCTGTCTTTGTATACGGTTAACTACAAAGGGAACCCCTAACGATAGGTGGTCCCTATACACTATATATGCCATCCCATCCGATCCCATGGACAGGTAATCCGAGAGCCGTGTTAGGGACGCTTTTGCCGGCTTCATTAGCCTTCAGATCGGGCGACAGACAATGCAACAATTATGGCCCAGCATTTATGCACTAGTCAAAACCAAAAGCAGAAGACAAGCCAACATGGACACTCTGCTTGGAGAGCGAGAAACAAAAGCAAAAGTGTTGCTAAATTTAGAACAACTCTCGGAGAGTAGGAAAATCAGGGGGCCTCAAGGGGCGGGGGCTGAGCCTGTGAGGTCTGTCGGTTGAGTAACCGCAAAAGGGGCACCTCTGGAGGGAGTGATGGAACTCTTGAGGGGTCTTGGGGAAAGGGAAGGGGACTGACTGCTGCCGACGCCTTCTAATTGTTGCTCGACGAGCGGAAGCCAAGAGTTGAGTTCTATTTTTACATACATATACATATTAGCTGCTCGGAGCAACTGCATCGTCGAGAAGGAGAAGGGGGATCCAAATGTGGAACAAACTAAACCGAAGGAGTAGTGCATGGCGAACATGGTTTCCAGTGTTGTTCCCAGATTTGACTTTAAAATGTCTACAGCCAGAGGGGCTGTTTAACGACAACCGTAACGAGGTTCCACAGTTTTAAAAATAGTTTCTTAGATTGACTATTGCAGTTGCTTTTTTGTGGACTAGAAACTGAAAGATAGATCTTAGAATATCTTAAACAGTTTAAATCCATGAACATTGACTTACAAACCCACACCTTTACGCATTCTAGGAAACACTTGAATAGTTTCTTAGTTAGGGTGTTTAACCTTAGATCTGACTACTTATGGTTAGCAAACCCCCGCCCCGGTTCCACTTCCTCTTCCACTTCGCGATCCCCGACTTATCCATCGACTTGTTGACACAGTTGTTCTACCCACTGGCTATTGACTCAAATGACTTTCACACTCAAATAGTAAAGTTTATTTATTTTCTTCTTTGTGAACACTTGACTCCAACGCTTCGCTCAACGCGGGTAATTCAATATTGTAACTCGAGTTATTTATAAATTAGGAAATGCTGCCAGGAACAGCAGCTAAGCCAACAAATCGATCAACTAGTTCTCCAGTTTATGGATCATTAACATACTGTACTATATATATACCAAATACCCCCTGCACTCTGAATTCTCATTTCTCAATTCTCCCCGAGAGGGCGACATTTTTCACGGCTGTCAAGTGCTGTTGGCCTCGACTCTTTCATAGGGTATTTCTCTATGAATTCTGCTTGTTTTTCGGGTCTGTGACTTCCTCAATAAATGGTTAAAAAACAATACATTTTGTATTTGTGTGTCTAAGCATTTTGTGCTAATTTCATGGGGGTCATTCTTAACACTGTTTTTTAAGATCAGTCACGCCGTTGAAGTATGCTCTCCCCTCCTTGTTCACGGACACATTTGAAGCTTTTGGAAAACAAAAATTTTGATTTCTACTCGCACTTAGCCAACAAAAAGCCAAACATTTTACCCCTCGGGCAAAACTGCGCTAGAAATCTTTCGCGTATCCGTAAAATTTTTTTGGGTGATCAATTAAGGCAAAACCTATTCCAATTTGGCAAACAGACAAGAGGCAAGCAAGAAATTGTTTTCGACAATCGTATAATTAATTTTTGCTGGCTTCTCGAATAAAAACCCAGCACTTGTGACCCGTCAATATCAACTATGAGAAAAACTGAATAATAAAACATTTGTCGACCCATAAAACACAGACGAAAACTGCACAAAATTCCCTGTCTACGAAATTGAGAACGAGCACAGCTATAAAAGCAACAACAGATCACAATTTATTAGGGTCATGTAGTTTATAAATACATCTTCACAAACTTAAAACGAGAACTAAAAATGAGAACAGAAATTATAAATTATTAATTAATGATGTGACAGAGCTAGTTTAAAATAGCAGAAAGAGAAGAGGGAACCTTATATTACTCAAACCTTTTCTTATATTTTTACAAATCTTAGAATATCTCCTACATTTCTATCTGTATCTCAACTCTTCCATCTCTTACACTATCTTAATCTTCATAAGAAATAAGATTAGATATTGTCTAACCAAATGATGCCTAATCTGGAATCTGGAATCTTTATCTTCCGACAAGTGTTTAGAAGCAGTTGACATATCTTTCCCGCTGTTATTCTACCAACTTCATTTGCATAGTTCAAACTGAAAACTGAAAACTCGAAACTTTCCCAAAAGGGTAAACCACTCTTCTGGTTTTATTTTTCAAACAGGCGGGACCGCTCTTAGTTTTCTTCGATGTTTTACGACGACGATTTTATGTTTATTAAATACAAATTCCAAAACTTATCATGGGCATAAAAAAAAGGCCTGACTAAGGGACTCTTTCAGTTTGGGGCGTTGTATTGTCGTAAATTTTGTTGGTAACCCAACCTCGAACCCGAGTAAACATAATAAACGATTTTCACTTTTTCTTCGGCTTCTCTCCCAACTAGGTGGGTTTTTTTTTATGTTTTCTATGCTTTGATTAGTTTTTGTTATTTTAATTAGTTTTCAGTGGCATTTTTTGGTTCGTATCGGCATTTTCTTTCCCAAATTCTAAGCTCAGATTCCAGCGAAACGAGAAAGCGAGAGTTTTCCTTTGTCGCGCCGCGATTTTGTTTGTTTTTTAAATGTTGGTTGTCTTCTGGCCTTTTTTTGTTTTTGTAACTTTTTGATTGAACGAAAGTTTTAAGATTAGAAAATGATTTGGCCCGAGGGCGATCGATGCTTTAGGTCAACTTGATGAATTAATCGTGGTCAAAGCTAAGCTAAGAATTTCTTTGAATCAAACTAAATTGTGTCAGCTTCGACAGCTTTTACTGATCAGATTAAGTTGTTTTATTTTAACATGTTTTAATTAAAATGAATGATATTAATGATGCCCGGTCATAGCTCATAAATAACTAATGACAAATATTTACATAAATTTAAGAACATTCTGGATTGTAAACTTTCACTAAAGAGCAAACTAATTGCCATTAAAATTGAATCTTCAAAAAGAATATTTCTTGTTCACAACTGAACTTAATCCTGGGAAAGAAATTCCTAATAAATTTTACCAAACTTCCTAAATGTCTGGCAAGAGGCACAAAAACCAATATTTGAGATCAAGAAACTAGAAACTATAATTTCCCGAACAAAAGAATAACAAAGAAAAGCCCGCACAGAGCTGGAAACTAAATAAAGATTTATATAGCACACACGAAACTAAATTTATGCACTCGTTTTTCAGGGGGGCGACTTCTTTTAACTTCAAAGTACAGTGAACATTCGTGAAATTGAAGTTTATAATAAACTATTTTGTAAAAAAGTGTTTTTAAAAGAATTAATATTTTTACCATTTTTCACAAATTTTAACTTTTATAGTAAAAACGGTTTTATCTTAAAAAAGGTTAGGGTTTGGACTTGAGATGGTGGAAATTGGTTACAAGAAGTCCCATATACTCCTTAAATCTAAACTCTTAAAAACAGTTTGAATCCTTGGACTTACCCTATTGCATTCCAAGGCGGCGGCCGAGTGCTCCTCCCGCTGTCGAAAGCAGTGGCTGCACTTGCTCTTGTTGAAAATGTTCGGTGTGAATTTGCGGCAGTCGGCGGTGCGTGCGTTTGTTGTTGCTGCTGCTGCGGCTGTTGGTGTGGGTGGTGCCGACTTTGAGGGGGCGGCAGGCACCGTTGTTGTTATTGTGGCGGTTGACATTTCGCTGCTGCGGCTGCTGCGTTCAATCAACAATAAAAAAAAGGTGGAGAAATTGCAGAGGAGAAAGAGAGTGCGGAAATGGAGGGTAATGTTAAACTTTTCCCAGCAATTGCATGGCTATTTTTTGTTTTGTTTTATTTCAATTTTCAATTTTTGGTTTGTTTTGCTTTGTTTTTTTCTTGATTCGCAAGGATGCTTTGTTATGTAAGCCAAGACATTGGCTTGTTTTTGTTTTGGCCTGAAAATGCCAGCCTTTGTTTACTATCTCACTTATTTTAGCCTTTATCAGCCTTTGATTATTTTCTTATTTTTCGGGTATTTTGGTTAAACACTCAGTGAGTGTGAGAGAGATAGGGAGATGGGGAAATTATTCAATTTCGCTTTGCACTTTGATTCTTGGCTTTGGCACACACGCACACAATTACGCACAGAATAACACACACAGAAAGATGTGCGCGTAAGCCACAGAAATTCACAAACACACGCGCGTACGCAGAGAACCAGAGCAGAAGTTTTGGGCTTTTTCTTCTTTTGGCCTTCTTCGCCGCCTTTTGTTTTGTTTTTTTTTATCTGTTTCGTATTACTCGTACTTTTTCGCTATGGAGCTGTTGTTATTTTTTTAGTGGTATTTTCGTCGACCCGGTATTATTATTGTTATTTTCGCGCAGAAAGCGCGCTCTTTTTTGAAGCGACCGAACGCGCACGCTGCTCAAAACGGAATGAGAGCGCGTAAGAGCACCCGCACCGTTAAGGCCAACAAATACCGACAAAATACCGAGATACCGAAAAATACCGCAAACGAGAGAGATAAATATTTGCCTTCGCCACGTCGAGGGACTTATACTCTTTCGAAAAACATTTAAGTGGACACCTTATAGAAGCAAGGCACTAAATTCCTTAGTTATAATAACTGGCTGACTATAATTTTTTCTTTATTGTGAAGAAGGGAATTAGTTTATTTTAAGCTTTCAGGTTAAATCATCAATATGTTCGAGTTATAATAATTTTAATGTTGTTACAAACATCTTATTAATAGTATAGTAAGTTTTGCTTATAGGGCATTACAGTTAGCTCTTTCTCTCTGCTTATGTACTCTCTCATCTGAAATGTTATGTTAACCGCTTTTTGCAGCAGTAACTTCTGTTAAATAAATGTTTAGGCAGCAAACTATGCCAATCTGAATTTTTCTTTAAACTTTGCATCCTAGCGTAAAATTACCGTTATGAATATTTGGTCCTTGGAAAGGGGAATTACCGAAGAACAGCTTTTAAAAGCGGAAGTAGATTGGTGTAAGGTGAAAAATTTAAAAATAAACATATTAATTTTAAATTTTTAAATAAAGAGCGTCTAATCATCAAATTTAAAAAATTAATTAATAAGCAATTAATTTATTGTTCAAATGTATTCTTTAATTTATATCAAACATTGAAAGGTATTTAATGATGTTACACGAAAATGTACCAGAGAATATGTATCATATTTAAATAATTATTTTTTATGTTGGTTAAATTAAAACTAATATTTCTTAATAATTAATCTTATATTTTATGATATGGTAAGATTATTATTATATTGTTTGGAAGGATCCAATAGGAATATTTTAACCGGTTAAGTCTTTAACAGCGCAATGTTATGTTTACTCTCTTAATCTCTTATCGAGATGTTGCTAAGTCAAGTGCACTTGTTGCGCGATGTTGCCAAGCTGAAGCCATAAGTGTTGCCAAAGCATTTACTCTAATAAGATAAAAAGTAATAATAATGATATGATATTGTTATGCAGATGCTTAAAATTCGTAAAAATCATTTAAATACCAATATGCCATTTATAATTTTTATACCATTTCTTTAAGAAAGCTCAAAATTTTCGGTTTATTTCCTTAGCAACATGTTGCTAGGCCTGCTACACGAATGTTGCCACACTTCCGACTTGTAATTGATGAGTTTTTTGACTCTCGAACTGGAAAAATGAATTATGCTGGTGGAAAAATCAAAGCCGGCAAAGGCAATCATTTCATTTCACAAACAATTTGTTTACTGATCTCCCCAGAAGAGACCAACAACACAACAACAACAACAACGAGAGCAGAGCGGTACCAATAACAATAACAATTAACTGCACGCTTCATTAACAGCCTCGGTCAACAAATTTTCAAGTGCGATGCAGAACCATTAATGGGGGCAGTGGCAGAGGGAGAGGGCAACTAAGATGAACCCTTTTCACGCACGAGAAAAAAACAAAATGTATAAAACAAATCTACACTGGAGAAAAAACAAGATCTTTTCGTTTAACATTTAATCTGAAAATTCATAATATGTTATTTTTCTTAATTTTCTGTTAAAATTATTTATAAAATATTGATAAGAACAATATCAAATACTTTTCAGGTAGATTTTTTTCTCAGTGCATTAACAAAAATTGATTAATTGCGCTGGTCGAGGGTTCTGGCATTTGAAGGGGCTTGCAGTTGAAGAGTAAAGACCCTTGAGGATGGGGGGAAGGGGCAAAAGGAGTCGGCCCTCGATCAAATATTTTGACTGCCACCTACCTTCTGAGGCTCTAGGTAATGAGGGGATAGGGTTGGGGAAAGGAAAGACTAATGTGTGGCGCTGCCCTCAAAGAACGAAAAAGGAGGAGCAGCTGAGAACGAATCTAAAAAGAAAAAGCAAGAAAATTCAAGTTTGATTGTAGTTTTACTTATTTATGTTTCATATTGGTAAACATTATGTTGCTAAGAAATACAAATCTGAACATGAAGAAGGTTACTACGAGTAATGATTAATTCTACCATTTTTCAAATTGTTTTGGTCAAAATACTTTTCTCTTATCGAAAGTGTAATCAGTTCGCTCAACGAGGTATAACGTTCCATTTTCCGACCATTTTTGGCTTTGTTATACCAAATTTTGAATTTTCGGAATTTGTTCGTCAAAATTTTCAAAACATGGCAAAATTTTTACAATTCAAGGCTTGAATGCAGTTCAACTGGAAATCTGATAACGAATAGAACGAGGTATGATATTCCTTAAACGGATTATTTTTGGCTTTGTTATAAAAATAAAATCACTTTTTGGAGTAAACAAATTGGGAAAAATGGTTGTGTCAAAAATACTATTTATTAGTCTATTTCCAAATCATATATTTAGAAAATGAACTTACTACTTACTTACTTACTTAGTAACTAGTAAGGTCATCGACCACCTTAGCCACTCGGTCTGGCATTTACGGTAATTAGTTGATTTTAAATTTGATTCGAATTCGAATTCGGCTTGGTCTTGTGCAATTGCCGAAAATGTTTTGATTGCATTGGCAGCTGCCTTGCAACCGAACGTTGCATGATAATGGCTTCTTTTTGGGTCCATTGTTGTGTTTAGTTGTTTTTGTTGTTGTTGTTGTAATACCTGCATAGCTGAAAAATGCATTACCGAATATTGATTTCGCTGTGGAAGGGGGACACACTTTGTGTGCGAGTGTGTGTTGTTTTTTTGGTAGCCACCGCCGCTCGTTTTGCACATTTTCCACTCTCATTCAAATGTCAATCGAGTCACGAGTTGAGTTGTCCCCTTTTAACGCCCCCTCGACCCCGTCTCCAGCCAACCGCCGGCACTCAAAATGAATGCAAAGTAATGTGGAAGACAAACAATGAAGAAGAAAAACCTATTTCCCTAAATATTTTCCAGGAGATCGTTAAAATTCTGCGGCTTTCAAATTACCTAAGAAATGAAATAATCTTTAAGGGGCAGTAAAATGACTTCATCAGGTTTTGGTTTATTGTTGGGAACATGAAAACTAAAAACTTTTAATAAAGATATTAGCTTTGAAGGCATTTAGAAGCATAAATATTAATCTTAAAACAAAACTTATTAGTTTCTGATGGAAAAACTGAAAAATATGACTTTCGAATGCGCATAAATCCAAGCCCATAGCTGAATCTGGGCGAATGTTTCCCAAACATAAAATTTCATGTATCATTAACTGATCCGCTGGCAATTAGTCCGTTGGACTTAGTCATGGCAAGCTGGCGAACATGCAACATGGGGGCAGGAGCAACAACAAGTGCATCCGATCCCGCCTTCGGGGTGTGTGACCAAAAACTTGGATCACGCTTCTTGTCGGAGCACTTGGGTTAATAAGTATCTCGTCTAGCCATGCAAATCGTGAACTGAATTGAAAATCAAAGCACTGAACTTGAGGCAATCTGAGCTGTCAGCCCCGAACCCCTCCCACCCCTCCTACAATTTTTTGTAATCTCCGCGTGGGCTGGCACTTTCCATATCGCGTCTGAGGCATTTTCCCAACTTAGAAAATAAGTCTTTAAAAAATCGAAAAGCAAAAACAAAAATTATCCACACTTTGAGCCCTTTTGACAGCGAGCGAGTCGCGATCCATGGGTAATTTAGAGAGAAGAGGGCGAGGTCTAAACGCTGCACATGATGTTTGGCTGGGTTGCAGCCGCTGCTGCTACATATTAAATAGATTGCAGCTGCAACACTTTCACTTTTTTCTATGCTAATTTTTTCAAAGGAAAAAACAAAACGAGTAAGGAAAATGTTTGGGAATTTTGAGAAAGAGCCTTTTTATTTAAACTACCTTTAAGATTATCCCATTGTAGTTAAATATTTTATTAAAAATAATTTAAAATCATTTATTAAAACCAAAAAATGACCTTTTGGTTTAATTTTAGGGGAAATTGTAGTTGTGAGAAGTCATGGAAATTTAAAAAATAATTTGTTTTTGAGTTAATCTTAGATAAAAAGGTAAAGCCTATTAAAGATTTTCCACTTTTTTGGAAACAGTTCGCTAGAAGCTCGCTAAACTATATGTTTTTTGTTGGTTTTTTGAGTTCCCAATATAAGTAATTCTATAAATATTCCCTTAAGAGGCAATGATTTATGTTGAACTTGCCACCAAATTCGAATCAAGCAAGTTTTGGCTTAACTTGACTTAACTTGGAGATGAGTTATGAATAGATTAAAAGTCGAAAATAGAATTAGACGTATATGGAATATTTATGGAGACATTATTGTTAGATATTTTATGGCATTTTTCTGAGAAACCGTAAGAAAAAGGGATTTTTATAAGAATTTTCATGTTTTTTTTGTAAAATTTGTTTACAAGTTAGAGAAAAGTCTAATAAAATGGTGATATATCCAGGTGATTTATCAGATAAATGTTTTTTGTTATTATTATTAAGTTGTTAAGATTTGCCATATGGTAATAAACACAACCCAGTTCAGTACTTAAGCTTCGTTTTCTCTAAGCATTAATTTTACTTTTCAAGAAACTGCCCGTACTTCCTGCATAAAAAAAACACTTGCGTTTAAAAAAAATACGCAAATGTTTTTTTGCATGCAGAGTCATGTTTTTTGGGCGTCAAAATGACTCCATAACTGACCGAAGCCAACTGAAACCTATAACGAAACCGATCCAAGGCCCCGGCCGAAACATTTTGACTCGACTAACGGAAACCACCTGCGAACAATTTTCATTCGGCAGCAGCGCTAAAACGAAGAAAAGCCAAACGAAAAATGCGGCAAAATCGACGTCTGACAGTCTTTTCTGGCTGGTTGGTACTGGTACTGGTACCAATTTGGCAGCGATTCGCGACTCACGCCAATTCCAGGGTGTGGATTCGGCAGGGGGAGGCAGAGGAAAGGGGCTTCAAACGTCCATAGACCTTTTTGTGAAAGTGAAATTTTTCGCAAACAGTCCGCTC